CCCCAAAACCCCAAAACCCCATAGATTAAGCATTTTGGATAGGATTGTCAAAAGTAAAGAAAATTGTATTTATTTATTTGATAAAAGTTTGAACAACAAATTTCAACTCAAAGAAAAGAAAAATTATGGTAGAAAGTAAAAATTGTATTGATAATTAAGCTCCAGAGGTATTTCAAGGCTATAAAAGAATCAGTGTCTTAGGTTCTGGAACATTTGGTATCGTTTTTAAATATCAAAAGAATGATCAGATAATTTCTATTAAATTCTCAAAGCCAAATAGCTATAGTAATGATTGCTTAAATGAAGCTATCATAATGAGAAAGATGACGGAAGATGGACGTCATGGTTTCTTCCCAAAATATATTAAGAATGGCTGTACAAAGGTTAATGACAAAATTGTAAATTATCTTATGATGGAATACCTAGATGAGTAAATTAATGCTATTAATGATTCATAAAATTCAAATCAATTTGACTTCTAAGATGGACTAGATCAAATTGGTCAAAAACTTTTTGTGAGCATGATAACTGTTGTTTAGTAGCTTCATAATTCAGGCTATATACACAGAGATATTAAACCATCAAACTTTATGATGAAAGATGGTAAAGTTTATATAATTGACTTTGGATTATCAAAGCAGTATTTGAAAGACGGAGTTCATTGTGATCAACTTGAACAGATCTAATAATTAAAAGGGTCGCCATTTTTTGCATCATTAAACTCACATAATTTAATTGATATTTCAAGAAGAGATGACCTTGAGTCTCTAGCCTACACATTTCTTTACATAATAAATCTATTGCCTTGGGTTAATAAATAAGATATGTAATTAGGAAATTACTAAACATAACTTGAACTGAATAACTAAGTCAAGCTTTAAAAAGAGGATCTGCAATTTAATATAATTTCAAATAAACATTTTGACAGTACTTCAAAATTAGAATGAAAAATTTATGACTTTCTTAAGATCATTTACTCTCTAGAATTTAACGAAGAACCACCTTATGAAAATCTCAGACAGGTATTCTTGAACTCTCATGATTAGATTTCAAATAATAAGGATGAGCAAATGGCTTTACCTGAAGTTACTAAAGATTCTTAAATTTCTCTGTTTCAAGATTAAACTACAGATAGAAGTGAAAGTTGTTTAAATGAGAGAAAGAGTTTTAATTAAAATTTTTAATAAAATGAAAATGATTAGGCAAAAGATTTATAGATGACTCCTTTCATCTAAGAATCATGCTTTCTTGATTAAAGTAATAATAGTACTGAAATTAGTTAATAGTAATTTACAAATTTTGATGAAGGTAATAATGAATTGATAATTTAAGAAAATAATCAAAATGACGACTTAGTCATCAGATAGCTAAATTAGCTTATTGATAATATCATGATTTCTATTGTATCTGATGATTATAATTAGATGTCTGAGGAAGAATTTGAATTAGCCAGAGAGGAGCTATTTAATAAACTTGTGTTAATAAAATTTTAGAGTAATTACATATATCAAGAACTAAAGCAAAAAGTAAGTTTATTCAAGAAGAATCCATCAGATGAATTCATTTTACTTAATGAGTATGAGTCAAAAAAGATATTGAAGATTATAGATTCTTTCTACTCAATTATAAACTTTCATAAAGATATCGATATTACAGTTAGACTTAGTTTAGATTCTATTAACAAAGACTATAAGAATATCGAAATCACTAAAGAAACTACTGTGCAGTTTATGTCTGAAATCTATGGTTGGAATAATGGTTAAGATATGATTTTAAATGAAGAAGAAAGAAGTTATGAGTTTCAAATAAGTAGATAAATATGGCAAGATTTGGCTAACAAATGTAAGTTTTGCATGAGTATAATCTTATTATAGGTCTTAAATCAATTATATTCAAATTTAGAGTTAATGGAGTTTGGATATTAGACTAGAATTAAACAAACGTAAAAGATGATAATGGTAACATTAATAATGTCATTTATTTAACATAATTATCGTGACTAAAACCATAACATATCATATTTAATTTCTTAATTTCGATCTTTTTTAATTTTTAAATCAAATTTAACTTTAAGGGGTTTTGGGGTTTTGGGGAGATCGGAAGAGCACA